TACATCTTTTGTTTGAGAATCACTTCAAAAAAAACAACTGAGACCTTCTGCTGAAAGCACCACAGCTAAATCTTCTTCAAGAAGGTGAGGCAGAAAAAAATCATCAGGTATGATAGATAAAAAGCTGCTGCCTTTTGAACTCTATGTCTTTCCAAAGGGAAGATAGAGAGAAACATAGTTTTTCCCCTTGAATTTGATAAAAGATTGCCATGTTAGCAGTGCAATCTCCATCAAGAATCGGAAAGTCAATTTTAGGAAGCGTAAATGCTGCCACATTTAACTTTACACCACCTTTTCTTTTATCCATAAATTTTGGTATTCCCGAACTTCCTAAGGGAGGGTACAATGGAGTCGTAACGTGCTCACCATTCTTCGGCAAGTTTCTAGAACCATGCGCCTTTAAATTCTCTTTCTCAGAATTTGAATTCACAATAGGAACAATCTTCTCCTTCCAAAATTGTTTAGAAAACCCTTGCGATGAATTCGGAAACCTACCAATTGGAATCCAGCTTCTCGTGATCTTGGGGGTTACACCATTTTGAAATTTGAATTTCCCAATCCTACTATTACTCTTTCGATTTGAAAAACGATCATATTGGTCGAAAAAAGGGTTACGGGAATTCATTTCAGGCTTCAGCTTTACCAGTATGTTTTCTGAGCTCCATCTTAGTTTTACCAGTAATATTATCCATCTCCATCTTGTTCCTCCCCATAGAAAATACACCCGCAAACATCTTCGAAGGACGCAATCCCTCATCATCTATAATTTTAACTTCAAAGAATTCTTCGTTAATGCACAAAAGAATAAATTCGGGAAGGGACACATATGCACAAACACCAATTTTAACTCATACAAATTGGCATGACAAACTAAGAAAAGAGTTCCAACCTAAATCCCGGTAGATCCCATATCGTCCAACAATCTTTTTTATAATAACCAGATTCCATTATGACATTGGAAGACCCCATATTTTAACACATACTGATTCCAATTGTTTAAAAGAGGCATGATCCGAGGCCTTCCACAAATCTAACGAGAGGAGGCTACCTCGAACTCTGTAAAATCTATTAGCCAAAGCCTTATTTACTTCCTCCTTCGACCGTAGCTTAAAAACAAATTTATTGGGACTAATGATCTTAACATCAGGACGAAAAGACAAGTTTCATCCTCTCTGTGCCTAATCAGCCAATCCAAAAAAGTCCTTTACTAGAGGTGAAAACGAACCATACACGAAAAACTCCATTTTGATGTCAAGCTGCTCCCAAGCCTTTCAATCAAGTACTACCACATAAGAAAAACGATCTGAAGAATCAACCCCATCAACCCTGCCATTATCCGCTCTCCCTACCAAAACTTTCTTCCAATCCATCTTGCTTGTCTAATTCGCCATCAAAAGGCCATCCAATTTTATTTTTTTTAGGGCTTGATATCCTACTTTATTTTCACAACCATAATAGTCAAGGCTAGGATGATTGGTTTGAAAGTTTTTCAACACCAAATCTTCAAGGAGTTTTGAGGTGATGCTTTACTTATTGTGAGATGGTTTAATAATAGAAAGTTCATAACAATATGACCCAACCTCACAAATACATATACTTCACATACCTTTTTTTTTTTTTAAGGATGAGATTTCTACGAGGCCTAAGCTTTATGAAAACAAATTCCTCACTGCCAATCCTCATTTGTAAAGCACTTTAAGCAACGGAAATCTCCACAATGACTCAAATCAATTTTCAGTACCGATAATGAAATTCGAAACTCATAAAATATATGAACACTTATTTTTAGGGTGAAATGGATAATCTAGATAATATGTTGCAATATAAACTATTTTCAGAGCTTGACCTCCTATTTTTTTTTCACAACTATAATGTTCAAGACAAGATGTTTTATAATACTTGAATTGCAATTTTCAATGAGTTGTAAGGTGAGGCTTTACTTGGTTTGATAGGATACAATCCTATCAAATCTTGTTTCCTTTTTTCAAAAGATGTATGCTCTTGCGGAAGATTTTACATGCACCCTTCTTTCTCTGTTAATGGTTGTGGTGTTGTGTTCATTTTTTTTCTCCTCTCTTTTGATCAGTGACTTGTGATTCGTTTGTTCATACACTGGAGAATTACATCAGAATAAAAAAAATTTGTACAATCACAATGTATGCACAGGAAGTGACCCGATGGAAAAATTAGTGACGAGTGGTTCTCAAATGTCCTTTATCCAATCAAATATAGGGGTGACCGTCTATGGAATTTATTTCATCTTCCTTGGCCTAGACAATCACATTTGCAAAATATCTTTCTATAATTAAGTCTTCAATCCCTTGACTGAGCAGATGAACCCCTTGGATCATAACTTTCGTGTCTGCCTCGTTAGATGAACACTTTAGCTAGAGCACAATGCAACATGATGGTTCCATTAGAATCCTTAAACCACCCCTCCATAGCAAGAAGCCCTTGGTTACTTATGGAGCTTCTGTTCAAGTTGAGTTTAATCATTCCCCTCTAGTTCGAAAGGTCGTGGTTCGCAGTCCATTGGCAACTTTGGATATTGATTCTCGGGCTTAGTTGAAACACCTCTTTTGTATTGAGAACAATGTTAGTTATTGAAATGCCAAAGCAATATTTGGTAACTAAGGCCCATTTAGTTGTTTTGACCCTGATAAGGACCATTACTTTTTATTGAGAGAATGACTGAGACAAAAAATAAGCCAAAAAATTAAAATATAAAAATAAAAGGCTGCAGATTATACCCTCTTGGGGGTACGTTTGTTTTTCTAAAAGATATCTTCTGGAAAGTTGAATGTTTTATTCTTGACGGTCTATATATGTTTTGGGTATTGTGTTTGATAACATGCAAGAATGTTAAAAAAGTTTTGGTACTGTGTTTTATAATATGTTTGGGTATTGTGTTTGATAACATGCTGGAATGTTAAGAAAGTTTTAGGTACTGTGTTTCATAATATATACATATATATATGAAAAATTCTTCACAATGGCTATAGGCGAAAATGAACAGTGATTTTGCCTATCCTCATTACAATCCAAAGTTCATCGCACAGTCCCGATTGTCTGATAGTGTTTCATTTTTCATTTTTTTTTTAAAAATCGAAATGATCTGAAATTTAGAGCATGCGTATATCTTAGTGAGACACACTTAATAAAATAATAAAAAAAATAATTCGTGAAAATAAAATTAATCAAAATACCCCTAAAACTTTTCGAGACTATTTTGGTCAATTTATTTCATGTAAAATATTTTTTTGATATTTTTCGTTGATTCATCTATTTCAATATATATGGAAGATACCACAAAACACCTATAAGCGAAAATGAACAATGATTTCACCTATGAGACAATTTAGGATCTTAAAAGAAAACAAACTATAATACTGGAGCACCCCTTGCTTAGATTTAGTAGACTAAGTCATTTTTTTCGGATTGACTCAACAAGGCATATGCCCCACCCACATACTCTAGCAGGGGGCCCATGGTTGGCTCAACAAAACCAACTCGATAGATAGCTAGATCATGGATTTGTAGTGGATTGCAAAGACAACCCCAAGAACATGCACTCTATCAGATGCAAGGGCCCTCTTTCTTAGACTCTTATCGCATGTGCATAATCACTCAAGAAGATCTTGCCTTGAGAGAGTGGCCTCCCATTTACAACTGTTAGGTGGCTTGAGCTAAGGGACTTTAGCTTGTGTCCTCTCAAAGCGCAGCCTTCTCATACATGGTTCACAGAAATAGTAAAAAATATTCAAGCTCACAATTATACTCATAAATAAACAAAAATACTTTTCCCTGATTCACACGATATTGAACTTGACTAGAAGAAACCCATACGTGACCACAAACCAACACAACGTGCTAGAACCAAGACCTTGAATGGCTATAACTTCAATATGTTCATTCTTCATTAGGGAATTAAATTATGGACTTGAAATCAAGGCAGCCCTCTTCATTGAGGTTTTGAGGATCCCCAACCACAGGGAATTGGGTGAGAACATCTCAAATTGATTTCCATTTAATGGGTTTTGGCCCAATTTCTTCCTACGCCCCAAGATCATGTTGGGTGATCTTCCAGCATGGTTAGGAAGAAGACTCCTCGCATATGGACGATATGAAATATATGCAAATGTGCAGCAGATGAATGACAGTGAGGGAGTGTTCCTACGGAAAGTCCAGAGGAGAGGGGAGGGGATGCCGGTTATCACAAGCTGTGAGCTCGCACACAAAACGTAAGTGGTCAAATGGACACAGACACCAAGGGGAACAACCTACACCAACTTAAAAACATATTTTCTCAGAAAAAAAAAAAAAACACACATTTATTTTTTCTCGAAACAACTTGAATGACCTTTTTTGTTGTTCATTTTGCCCAAGAGTATTCCAACGTTCACCATGAACCTTGAGCAAAGTTGAGATCATTGGAGATTAAGAACCTTGTTTCATGAAATTAAGGATAAGGTCTCGCTGGTTAATGCTGATCTTCGTTATGTTAATGAAGAAGTGGATTGTCCAGCCAAACGGGAAGTTTGAAGTTCCTCATTGGTCGCTAATCTTTATTTATTTTATGCTCTTATTGTACATCACATCTTGTAATTTGTTTTTCTGTTTAATGGAAAGCTTGGGTTAATGCTAAATAAATAAATAAGTAACTTGACCAAGGTTCTATATCCCCGGTCTACCAAATTTAAGGATTTGGCGTTTCACTACATCTCACCAACTAAAATCCAACCCAAATTTTGAGAAATTACCGAACCCAACAGAAGGCATCCAATAGAGAAATGCGCTCAAGGCTAGGTGATTAAAGTGGAATTGTAGCGTCTTATGTTCTATTCCCATCACTTATAGGAGACCTCTTTCCCAAACAAAACAATCCCCCCACACCACCCCACCCCACCCCACCCCACACCACACCACACCACACGCGAACAATGAAGAGAGCTTTTTTTGAGAGCTTTTTTTTCTTGATCATTTTTCAATAATCTAGGGGATTCAGAGATTTTTTTTCTTGATTTGATTTCAGTCATGCATTATAGGACCAAAAGAAGTTACATTTATACAATATAAACATTTTTACTAGATAGATACACATTCACACATATACACCGAGCATAACCATACCACATTATAAAGGCGACCTTGTCCGCGGGAAAGAAGATATGTACAGGAAGGTCTATACATAGAATCACTGTAACAAAAAGTAGAATGTCAGAGAAAAATGCACAAGGAATATATTAAAAGTTTGTATAAGGTTAGAGGAAAGGTGCATGCATCTCAAAAAATCCAACAGTGGAGAATGTTCCCACATAGGAAAATCAACTGATCATCTCAACCTTGAGATCAATGGACATGAACAAAAAAAAATTCCAAGTTCAAAAAATAACACATCTTGTAAAAAGTTATCTAGACCGTCTATTTTCAAGTGTTTATTGATCTACTCGATCTGTATCATTTTTAAAATTTTAAATTTTCTAACTGAAGATAAAAAGAGATTTTGAAGCCATCATAAGATTTTTCACGCCAAAACGATATCTCTAAGTAAATTTTATAAGTGCAACTGACCTCTAC